TATGTCTTTACCTGGAATTAGTGGGCTTGCACTTCCCCCAAAGGTATATAGGCCTGGGTTAGCAATAAAGATCCCTCTTGGCCTCTCATCAGTGTCGGCTCCCTCCCCTCTCCAGTCCTATCTCCCCTGTTCCCTTTCCCCTTGTCCTCAGTCCCCTCCCCTTCTCTCCTGCCCTCCCTCCAGGTCTCCAATCTCCATGTGGACCACCAAGCGAGGCTGAGGTGAGCATGCTACCATGAAATGTGTCTGATTCCATTATTTCAATCTCTCTTTTGTCTCTCATGCTCTCTAGGACTTTATTATAATATTTATATATCTCAACCGTACAATTGCACCTCTCGAACCCGTGATTAGTTGTGGGGGGCTGGCATTTTCCCCCATAAAGATAATGGTTCCAAACCATTTGCCATTTCAACACTCGCCACACGTGTGATTCAGAAAGACATTCATCATGCTGTTCAGCAATCGCCAGTCCTGAGTGTTTCTGTCCCCCCTAACAGAAACTCCATGGCCCCTCAGCCTTGGAGAACACACCCACTCTGAGTCCCCTGGGTCTCGAGTGAGCCACCCACATCCTGTTGGCGAGAACAAGTCACCTGACTCCCATCTGGTGTTCAGACAGTTAGAAACTGCTCTCACCCAAGGGCCTTGACACAGGAGGCAAAGGGGTTCATGGGAAGCTTGCCAGCCTCTGCCGGATGGATGCCTGGTGTGTCCCTCACTACCTAGGGACATTTTTGACTCTCTGTCACATACCCCCTTCCCTGAACTCAGAAGCCCTCCTCCCTCCTAAAAGCTGAGTGGTAATTATCGGGCCATCTTGCTAGCCCTTCTTGCTTTCCTTGGTGAGAGGGTCTCCCCAGAATCCCAGACAGACCAAATGAGTGTACGTGGAGGGGCCCCGCCAGCCATAGTGCCCAGGGCATCTCGGGCACACAGAAGCCAAGAGCCCAAAAGGTTGCCTGCACATGGCTCTCTGCTTTGGCAGGAGCCTGAGGTTCAGTGACAAGAGCCGCGCTGGCGGCTAGAGAAGGCACCTGGTGCATTATGCATTGCACTGCTCACCGCAAGGTCAGCAGTTCAAAACCACCAGCTGCTCCTTGGGAGCAAAGTTTCCTACTCCTGCCAAGAGTCAGCCTCAGAGACCCCTCGGGGCCAGTCCTACCCTGTCCTCTCGGTCGCAGGGAGTCCGCATCCACTTGATGGCTGTGAGGGAGAACCGCTCTTTTGAGGGTCACCCGGAGGGGAGGAGAGTCTTCCAGCTAGCTCCTGCTCTTCCCCGTGCCTGGAACCTCCCTGAGGGGCGGGGGCACTGAAGAGCTGTGTCCACCAGCTTGCTTGGGTTTCCCTGATCACCCTCGGGACAATCCATGAATGGGAAAGAGCAGGAAGCAGAGGGTGAGCCTGGACAAATGTGTGAGCGGGACCTTCCGGAGCCCGCACTGCAGCCTCGCACACCACGGGGTTCTGTGCATACCTTTGGAGTCTGATCCCCGCCCTGCCAGACGCCCCTGGACTTGCCTGGGACCTTTGACTGCAGCTGGTTGGATGCAAGAATGGCCGGAACAGCTCCTGTGGGCAAGGCCTGGAGTGGGCTCCTAGGGCGGCATAACTCAGGGGTCAAAGGGGAAAGGAGGACCCCTCTGGGGCTCAGAGGGGGCACATGAGCCCGCGTGGTAACTCAGGGCAGGCTTCCTGCGGGGTCATGGTCATCTCTGTCAGGACACACAGGAGCCCCCACCTCATGCCTGGCCCTTACGTGTGAATTGTATTATTTTTACGTGTGTCTCTAGCAGCCATGGCATCCCTGGTTGGCACAAAGAGTTAGGTGCTCAGCTATGAACCCAAAGGCGTTGCCTTGGGAGAAAGACCTGCTGATCTGCTTTAGGAAAACTAGCCGCGCAGAGCCCTGCTGGCGCTGGTCTGTGCTGGCAGCCATGCGTCACTCGGAGTGCTCCTGGCAACTGGTTCGGTTTTTTACAGTTTTCTTTCCCTCTTTTTTTCCCTAGTAGCAGCAGGTTTGCCAAAGAAGGGGGCAGCCTTTTTCGATCAGGGTTTTGCAACAAAACGAAGCCCCGTGGGGAATGAATTGAGTGGGCGTCGTCCCAGTTCTCCTTCGCATGGTGTGGCGCATGGGGAAGAAGCAGGTGTGTTACAAACAAGGAGTGTGGTAGGATGTGAGGGATGCCCGCTCTCTGTGCCTGCCCGAGGAAGGATGATTTGATGTACACATGGGATGAACAAAGAGCCTGGTGGCATAGTAGGTTATGAGCTGGACTGCTCCTCGATAGGTCAGCAGTTCAATACCACCAGCCGCTCCATGGGAGAAAGACAGGGCTTTTAGTGAGTTTAGTGTCACTCCCCCCACCCCCTGGTTATTTAATGAGCATGGGACATTTGATATAGGTCAGGCCTTGTGCTAAGCCTGCATGGTTCAGTTTGGTAATCATGAGCCACTGAACATGGGAAGTGTGGCTTGTCCAAATGCAGACATGTGCTATATAAAACATAACGATCTATTTAAAAATGTGAAGCTTTAGAATAATAACAAACCTAAAATATCTCATCAATAATTTTCAAAATGGAATTAAAAGTCAAAATGACCACATTTGGGTATATTGGGTCTAAGCAGGAGTCAGTACGTGTTCTCAGTAAATAAGCTGCTAGAGAGTAGTGTCCGCTTGGTGGGCCACCCACGTCAAGGTCTGCCACTGAAGTGCCAAACAGCTGCAGGCTATACAGAAACAGACAGGTGTCATCAGCCTGTCTGTCCAACTTTATTATTAAACACATTCATGGAACTCATTTTCATAGTAAAGTTGTGTAAGCTTCATTGATGTAAATGACAGCCAGTCTGTCTGTCCAGCTTCGACCCACACGCTGACCCCTGATTAAATAGAAGCTATTATTGAAATGAATTTCACTCATGCCTACTTTGTACACTTTAGAAATATTAAGCTATTGGCTCTGGGGATCAGCCGTGTAGCCTCAGTTGGCCCTGGGATGTGTGTGCGGGAGAGGGTTGGGGTCAGTTCCCTGACCTAGCTTTCGCACTGCTGGCAACCGTAGGGCAGCCCCCCTTGTGACTGCTTCCCCTGGAATCGCCTGGCCCAGCGGTTCTCAGTCTGTGGGTCGCGACCCCTTTTGGGGATCAAACGACCCTTTCACAGGGGTCGCCTGATTCATCACAGTAGCCAAATTACAGTGATGAAGTAGCAATGAAAATAATTTTATGGTTGGGGGATCAGCACCACGTGAGGAAGTGTCTGAAAGGGTCGCAGCATGAGGAAGGGTGAGAACCACTGACTGGCCTAGCCTGTGTGCTCTTCCATCTCGTCGCCTTGACTACAGCGCAGTTCCCTGGAAAACCACCAGGTGGGGCCGTCGGACCGCGGGGTGCGCCCGCAGGACCAGGCCCGAAATAGGGGACAGGTTGCCTGCGATGGCTATTCTGACGGTAAGGACAGCACAGAGGAGAACTGCCCCGTGGAGTTCCCAAACCTGTCATCTTCACGCACTCAGGCT